AACTCTCCTTCACCGCGACCTCCACCCCCCCCTCCAAGCCCTCCGCTGCCCCCTCCGCCACGACCCCCACGCCATCTGCCACCCCCACCGCCGCCACCCTCCCCTCCACCGCCGCCTCCATCCCCTCCACCGCCGCCCCCACTTCCGTTCTGTGGTGACGGCTCCTGCTCGGCTGGGGAGACGTGCGTCACGTGCCGCCTTGACTGTGGGGCATGTCGCGTCTGTAACAGGAATGACATCTGCCAGCCGGAGCTGGGCGAGACGTGTGTTAATGGTGTCACTGGATGTGCGGACTGCGGCAACTGCAACGGTGCCTATTGTGGCGATGGTAAATGTGCAGGCTCCCGAAAAGGCTACATGGAGACGTGCTACTCATGTCCCTTAGACTGCAGAAGCTGCTAGAATTACAGGCAGATACAGGAAAGGTTTGCTAGGTATATATAAGTATATGTATACCTAAATACATCATATATTATAATCATGTGCAACGTGTACCGTGCGCGTGTATTCCGCGTTTCAGAGGCATGTATGTGGTTCGTACGACAGTATTGTACGGGCAGGGACTGTACAACATTGTACGGTCTGTTCGTGAGCGTCCAGCAACCGCGTATATGGATATGGACATGTGTGTGTATGTGTGTGTGGAGAGGGAGAGAGAGAGAGAGACAGAGAACGACAGTACTTTACGAAGTGACGCACATCCCGACGGGCAGCTGGATACCGCACGAAGGATGGGTTTTCCTTCTGCCTGTATCGCAAGGCCTTCTTACCCTCATATATTTCGCGCAACAACCGCGGAGCAAAAGCGCAAGGTGGCGCAGTCGGGCGCGACCACAGGCCTGCCGTACACGCGAGACGCGCGCAGCATGAAGCAGCTGCTACCGCCACCACCACATGATTATATAATACAGTTACGTTTCAAACACTCCCATGTACGGGGGAAAGCTGTGTACGAGGTGTCGCATCATACGACTGTAACATCGTTTATAAGGCGTCGCAAGAGGAATGTGCTAATTATATCTGATGATTTTGTGTTGGAAACAGTGTTTTTCTTTTCAATTTTGCCGGTGAATTTTCCAGTCCGAACGGAGGAATAGGTTTTTAGTCGCGGGAATAAAAGTATTCCGAATCTGTAAGGCGCTGGGGGGGGGGCTCCGCCCCGATGAGTTACAGTTTACTTACACGTGCAAACGCCGTGGGGAATGCCGCAACACGCGCACACCACAATCTCTCAAACACTGATCGAATAGAGTTCGTTCACCATCGTTCGGCTTGCATCATGTTGAAAGATAGCACTACACGACTTTCCGGGTTGCAAAAGTAATGATGCATAGCAGCAATGGACCGGAACCACCAAGCGCAGCCTGTTTCCTGGACCATCGCGATTGTCTCCATATGACGAACGTTGATGTTTGGCCCGCTCGCTGTTGACAACCGGAGTGGCGTCATTGTCGTCGGCTGGCTGCAGCATTGCGCCCACATTCCCTACGACCTCTAGGCCGTCTTCATTAATGTCACTAATGGCTTCAGTAACGTTTAATATTTTCTTTAATGGCCTTTCACGCTTTGGGAGCTTCGGGTCCGAGTATTTTGCAGCGTTTGGTCCGGTCAGAAACAGTCCGATTCCTCGTTGACTTTCGGGCGTGACCTTCCTAACAGTATCCGTGGCATTAAAGTACTATGATATGGTTAACATGTACGTTTCCTGTAAGATTCTAGCGGCTTTGGCATAAACAGTCCATTTTCGGCTAGAGGAATGAACTTGTACGGTCGGAACATGATTTATTCTTAATTTTCAGGACCGCGAACAATTTTTTATTCCGAATTCGGAATATATTCCGCAAAATAATAACGCTGGTTGGAAAGTGACCGACACTCATACACAAACCAAAAATGATAGCTAAAATAGGACACGGCACGTTGCACGTATTTACAACATTTCGCCATGTTTATCACGGCGGCCACCCGCCAATACCCGCCCGCACAGCCTCCCCACAGCCTCCCCATTTACAGCAGCCTCTATGTTCTCCCCGCAGTGCAAAATTGTAAAAACTACATGCTTACCAGCCGGACTGATGAAGACTTCGTTCGTCGCTCGTGCGTGACCGGCAACTTGCACGCATCATTGCAAGTTGCAAGGTTATCCAAATCTAAATAGCCCGTGGACGTGGAGACCAATGCGGCTATTGAACTGGGCAGCCTTTTGAGCTCAAAATGTCCCGAACACAGCTTCAAGGCCACACATCTTAGGGCCGGGGTGCAGATACACGTGGCCGGCGTGCACGTATGCTGATTGCGTGATAGGTGGTGTTCGAAATGAGGCAGGTGGCCGTAGGGTATGTATGAAGACTGCGCCAATCCACTATCTACATTTTTGCGGAGCATTGGAAAATACGCTCCACTAGAACCTGTTATGCGTTTCACACCGCGTGCTTCGTGTGCTTCGTGTCTCCCATCTGCATTATCTAATTGGCTATTACCCTGGATTTTTTTAAATACTTCTCGAACTTTGCACCAGCTGGTGGTAAATTCACCATGCGCCGTAGCAAACTGAATAAAGTATCAAAGTCATGATGACAGTTTCCTTATGTCTTAATTTTTGAATTTGCTTACTATGCGGGATTGCACCTTGGGGGGCCCTACTGTGTCCACTCTTGGAGTGGAATCTAGTTCCACTAACTTAGTGGATGTCCACTTTGATTACGGCCGATCGTTCAAAATAATTATTTTAGCTACATGTAGCTACATACTTCATTTGTAAGATTTTTGTACAGCAAGAAGAATGCCTAAAGTAGACCAGAAGCGCTGCTGTGCTTTGACCTGCTCAGTGCGACCCAATTCTGGCCAGAAGACGCGCCTTACATCATGCATAGGCCTAGCATGTTTACGTCTTTGCGAAAACCTTCGAAGCAGCGCGGCGCCGGTCTCTCAGGAAAAACAGCAAGAATTGGAGGGCCTCTTAGACGCAGGCATACGCGGCGAGGATTGCCTTTCAGGAGGCTATTTTCATCAAATATGCGAGGGCAGGCCACTTAGTGCAGCGTGGAATATGGTTCTTTTCACAAGCGAGAAACATCCGACCACCAAAGAGCAGACCGCGCGGGCTCGTGACCTGCGGCACCTGGCCTGCTCTAAGTGCCTGGAACAAGTGACTGGTGGCAATGAGACGATGTATAGCAACCTAAGTGGTAGGTTGAACGCTTTCCCGCCGGGTATGGTGACAGTGATCCAAGCACTTGAAAGGCAAACAACTGTCCACTCCTCTTTATATATGCAGAGGAGGATCTTGCCACATTAGATAAAAAGCGAAAAACCCGGATGGCCAGCAAACTGAAGCAGCATGCCCTTGACGTCCTTACTGATGCGAGCAACCTTGGCATCGGCTATGTCTCGTGGCTACTCAACCCCGTTCAGGGCAGAACGATTAAGACCTGCACGAACGTGCACCGGTTGCTTCAGTCACGTCCCGAACTGCGCCGGCGGCTTACCCAGGTCTTAGATCACTTGGAGGTTGCTGTGCGTGCAATGCAGCGGCCTGGTGCGACTGACGAGCTGGTGACGCTGGCAGAAGCTCACGATACAGGGGGTGATCAGACGGCAGCAGCAACAGCAGTGGTGGCGAGAGCTGGGGAAGGGTTCAACCCGGCAGCAGCAGCAGTGGGTACCAATTTTCATGATAGCCCATTGACAGCTGCTGTGGAGGGCGGGTTTAACCTCGTGGCAGCAGCAGCAGGTGCGAATGGTCCCGATAGAGGGGGTGGTCAGGCGGTAGCGGCAACCGCAGCAGCAGTGGTGCCAGGCCCGTCGGGGGCCAGCCCATTGACAGCTGCTGTGGAGGGCGGGTTTAACCTCGTGGCAGCAGCAGCAGGTGCGAATGCCCCCAATAGAGGGGGTGGTCAGGCGGTAGCAGCAACCACAGCAGCAGTGGTGCCAGGCCCGTCGGGGGCCAGCCCATTGACAGCTGCTGTGGAGGGCGGGTTTAACCTCGTGGCAGCAGCAGCAGGTGCGAATGCCCCCAATAGAGGGGGTGGTCAGGCGGTAGCGGCAACCGCAGCAGCAGTGGTGCCAGGCCCGTCGGGGGCCAGCCCGTCGACAGCTGCTGTGGAGGGCGGGTTTAACCTCGTGGCAGCAGCAGCAGGTGCGAATGCCCCCAATAGAGGGGGTGGTCAGGCGGTAGCGGCAACCGCAGCAGCAGTGGTGCCAGGCCCGCCGGGGGCCAGCCCGTCGACAGCTGCTGTGGAGGGCGGGTTTAACCTCGTGGCAGCAGCAGCAGCAGGTGCGAATGCCCCCAATAGAGGGGGTGGTCAGGCGGTAGCGGCAACCGCAGCAGCAGTGGTGCCAGGCCCGTCGGGGGCCAGCCCGTCGACAGCTGCTGTGGAGGGCGGGTTTAACCTCGTGGCAGCAGCAGCAGCAGGTGCGAATGCCCCCAATAGAGGGGGTGGTCAGGCGGTAGCGGCAACCGCAGCAGCAGTGGTGCCAGGCCCGTCGGGGGCCAGCCCGTCGACAGCTGCTGTGGAGGGCGGGCTTAACCTCGTGGCAGCAGCAGGTGCAGGTGCTCATGATACCTCAATACGGCCTAAGCAAGGGGGCCGACAGCACCGCAGTTTTCAGCAAGCAGAAATTGTTCTTCCCTTAAACCTGGAGGGGCTTCGGAAGGCTGTTGAGTGCAGAGAGCTGGACCTATTTGACAAGAAGCAATTACAGCAGATAAAGCATGCAGTCATGCGGGCGCATGACACAGTGTCTACCAGGGCAACACTGTTGTCCCAGCTGAAGCGAGTTGCAGTAAGTCCAGGATGCCATGAACAAGGATGGCATGAACAATAGTCAGAGGGGTATTGCAGCATTATGGGTCTTGTGTATTGGTGTGGGTGCTTTAGTAACAGTTATAATGGTAATGCTTCCGGGTCACAGGATGAGTGCACCTGTCATGATAATGGTGCAAATGGATTGCTGATATGTATGAACCGCTCACACCCCATATATCCAGGCAGGGGAGGGCATCACTGTCAATGTGTCGCGGACTCTTGGCATTGTCATGGGCGCCCGCAGTGGTAAGTAGTAATGTTATGTGTAGCAGGACTTTAGCACCACATCAATAGGTGACAAATGTTTGGGTGGAAAATGTGACTATATGACAGTGGGGCAACAGACAGAAATCTAGGGATATGAATGGGCAAACATTCAGTTAGAATAACACTTGGGTTGTTGATGTGTTTACCACCCCGTGATACCTCTTCACCCTACAGGACAGCGAGGCCAAGGTGCAGGACAAGCTGGGAGCCGTGGCCGCCCTGCAAAACTGCAACTATCTGACTCGCAATCCTCCCTGCTTGTAAGGATTTTTGAGAGGTTCAACTCATCCCGGTCCAACCTAGACATCATCTTGGGCCGCATGCGTGTTGGGGGCCCGAACGGAGCAGGCCCCGAGGAGACAGTCCACAATGGTGTGCAGCACCTCGATGATCAGCCGCCAGGCGTGGAAATGAGTGAGCAGCAGCTGTCCAGGGAACTTCAGAAGCGTGCCCTGAAGTTCAAGGTGCTGACGAAGAACCAGGTGGGTAAGGAACATGACCTGAGGATGCAGGTCCTACCATGTACTGCACTAACCCTATGTTACTCTGTTCCCATTCCCATGGATGGGAGAGGCATGTGTCCCATTGAGGCCCTAATGCATTCTCATGTGCGCACACCGTGCACCATGCTGACGTTCCACAGGAGGTGCAACTCGCTGACTTGTACAAGCGGTTTGAAAACCAGCCCAAGCATGACAGGTATATACTGGTGGCAACAATGCTGCCGGGCTGCTGGAATGCAAAGGCGGTCAAGCGCTTGCTCATTAAGCATGGCCTCGAAGCACGTGAGTACTTACAATCAAGGTTGATAGTGCAGTTTAGGTCACAGATGCACAATACTCCTTAGGCTTGAACATGAAACCCTCACATGGGCACCAAACCAAGCTTCCCCTTGTATTTCCCTTGCATGATCTAGGTCGGTGCACGGAGCCAAAGGACACATGGTCGATGTAACAGCCGTCTCTTACCTTAGCTGTTTTAGCGGAAGTAGAGGGTCTCGTCCACGATTGGCGACCCAGCGTTAGGCGTGAGAAGAGACAAGGGAAGTCGGGATTCGAAGACATACGTCGAGAACGGTGACAGCAAGGTCTTGAACCCTGAACACTAGTATAGTGATACGTTAAGTGTCTGGCCGAAGCACTTCACCTGGGTGGCTTAAATGCGGCCCACCTGCCGCCATCTCCATTCCTGGAGTCTTGGTGTCGTACGCTAGGTTGTGATAGCGTACCAGAAAGTGAGTTCGTACAGTTAACGAGTATGGTTCGTAAATACGGGACCGTACCGTTACTGTGATTAAGCTTTAATAGCTTAAAGATATTCTAAGGTAAATGTAGCTTGCTACATCCCTCCCCCTCAGAAGCGAACCGTCCCGGGAGCGTCACCTTTTCTTGCGAGCAGGTGCTTTCCGTTTCGGTTGTTCTGGGGTGCTGTTCCGGGGTGCTACCGAAGGAGGGGTGGTCAGGACCACTTTCCTTTTTGGTGTAGATTGCCCGGACTTTGCCGCCAACCGTCGTTCATAGTCGTCAATAGCTTCGGCCAAGGGAACGGACTGACGCAGGGAATCTTCCGGTTCATAGGTGTTATGACTGGAGTCATAGCCTTCCCATTAACCAGATATTCTCGACGTGTTTGCCGGTCCACCTCG